CTCCCGTGGCATCACCTCCCATGGCATCACCTCCCTTGGTGGCATCTCCAAGAGTGGTGGCATCTCCCATGGTGGCATCTCCCATGGTGGTGGCATCATCTCCCATGGTGACATTTCCTACAGTGACATTTCCAAGAGTGGTGGCATCTCCCATGGTGGCATCTCCCATGGCATCACCTCCCACGGTGGCATCTCCCACAGTGGTGGCATCTCCAACAGTGGTGGCATCTCCCATGGTGGCATCTCCCACGGCATCACCTCCCATGGCGGCATCTCCCATGGTGGCATCTCCCATGGTGGCATCTCCCATGGTGGTGGCACCTCCCACAGTTACATTACTCACGGTGACATTTCCCACGGTGACACCTCCAGCTGTGGTGGCATCTCCTACGGTGGCACCTCCCACAGGGACCTTTCCCACAGTGGTGGCACCTCCCATGGCGTCCTCTCTCATGGTGACTCTTCTTCTGGTGGCTTCTGCCATGGTGGCATCTCCCGGCACGGTGACAGCTCCCAGGGTGGTGACGTCTCTGGTGGTGACAATTCCCACAGTGACCACCCCCATGTTGGTGGCTCTGCTCATGGCATCATCTCTCGTGGTGGCATCTCCCACGGTGGCACCTGCAGAGGTGACATCTCCCACGGTGACGTTTCTCACTGTGATGGCACTTCCCATGGTGGTGGCTCCTCTCACGGCTTCATCTCCCACGGTGACATCTCCGACAGCGGTGGCATCTCCAGTGGTGGTGACACCTCTTGTGCCGCCACCTCCCATGGTGACATCTCCAAAAGTGTCACTTCCCATGGTGGCACCTCCAGTGGTGGCGTCTCCCAGGGTGACATCAGCCACAATGACGTTTTCCACGGTGGTGGCACCTCTCATGTCATGACCCACCATGACGGCACCTCCCATGGTGGTGACATCTCCAACAGTGACATCTTCAATGGTGACGTCTCCAACAAGGACATCTCCCGTTGTGGTGGCATCTCCAATGGTGGCATCTCCAACAAGGACATCTCCCACTGTGGTGGCACCTCCCATGGTGACATCTCCCACTGTGGTGGCATCTCCAATGGTGGCATCGCCAACGGTGACATCTCCCATGGTGGTGGCATCACACGTGGTGGCATCTCCCACCCTGGCATCTCCAATGGTGACACCTCTCACAGTGGTGGCATCTCCAATGGTGGCATCTCCAACAGTGACATCTCCCATGGTGGTGGCACCTCCTGTGGCATCACATCCCACGGTGGCATCTCCTGTGGTGGCACCTCCAACAAGGACATCTCCCACAGTGGTGGCACCTCCCATGGTGACGTCTCCCATGGTGGCATCTCCCACCTTGGCATCTCCAATGGTGACACCTCCCACAGTGGTGGCATTTCCAACAGGGACATCTCCAATGGTGACATCTCCAATGGTGCCACCTCCCACAGTGCCACCTCCCACAGTGCCACCTCCCTCAGTGACATCTCCCACGGTGGTGGCTTCTCCAAAAGGAACATCACCCATGGTGGCACCTCCAACAGTGGTGGCATCTCCCATGGTGGCATCTACAACAGGGACATCTCTAAAAGTGACACCTCCCATGGTGGTGACACCTCCTGTGGTGGCACCTTCCACAGTGACGTCTCCCAGGGGTTTGGCACCTCCCATGACAGTGACACCTCCCATGACAATGACACCTCCCATGATGGTGACACCTCCCATGACGGTGACACCCCCTATGGTGACACCTCCCATGACAGTGACACCCCCCACGGTGACACCTCCCATGGTGACACCTCCCATGGTGACACACCCCATGAGGGTGACACCCCCCATGTCTCCCCCACCGCCGCCACCCCCCACCATGTCCCCCCCTGTCCCCTG